GGGTGGGGAAGGCAAGGGAAGGGAAGGGAAGGGAAGGGAAGGGAAGGGAAAGGAATAAACTGGAGAGGTGCATCTGTTCATTTTGAGTGACTGATGAGCAGCAGGAGAGTGATTTACCAAGTTCAATACATAATTTTACTTTATGTGAGCTCAGTAGCTCAGTGAACTTCATAAACAATTTTAAATGCATGTAGTTAAATGAAATAAGCACTCTGACTTCCATTTTTCTGCAGTGTCCCACAATTAATGGGAAACGTTTCATAACCTCCTACTTGTTGAGGGCGACTGGGGCAGGTTCTTTTCAAACTCAATCCCACTCCCTGCCTTCAGCTAAAGCATCTCAAAATGTACAGAAAGCCCTGCAGAGCGTTTTGCTTTAGGAAAAAAGTACAAAGGGATGTATTTTTCCTTGTATTAGGAGAAAACACATCTAATCATACTTGTTTTGCTTGAGGTAACTCAATTTCTCCTTGCACTGTGACAGCCTCCTGTTCAGTGCCTGAAGCCTGTAGCTAAAGATGGCTGTGAACCATACTCAAATCCAAAGACCCTCAGTCTTCGCGGGGCTGGGAAAGGTTAATAGCAACATTAAAAAATCCACAGGTCCTTACAATGGACAGAAAGATCGGGCTGAATTTGGGAAGAGTTGAAATCCGGATCAGAAGTTTCAGCGTGGGGGTGGACACGAGAAGATGAGAGTGCAGAGACAACGATACCACCCCATAGTAATGCTTTCTGCAATTTATCCCCCTGGTGTGCATGTACAGTCTCAGTGGGATGGATTAATTAGCACAGGAGCCTTGTCTCTGCAGTCTTTCTCCCTGCCAGCATGCTAACCCTGCCTCAGGGAGGGGAGGGAAGCCCGGAGCTCCATGCTTGATCCAAGTGCCTGTGTGGAGAGGAGGCGGTGGAAGAGAAGGGAAGGCAAGCTGATCTACTACATGCTACCAGGAGGCCATGGCAGTGCCTGCGGCAAGCATACTCACCGGCTGGGCGAGGGGCTGCGGAGATAGTGGGCCTGCACGGCCTTCACGTCTGGTCCCTCATCCTCCTCATCGGGCACCGCCTGCTCGCTGTCTGAATCTCTGCCGCTGGCCATGGCAGCTGCGAGAGGATCCGCTGCAAGGGGAGCACGGCAGGAGGGAGGGCCATTACAGAGGTTTGCATGGGAGGCAATCCCCTAGCCATGGGGCAGTGGTGGCAGGGGGTGTATGGCAAAAGGGGCTCCCATATCTTGCTCCCGCAACCCTGTGAGAAGCCCTTGCCTCGTCCCACACGCCGGCGGCCCTGGCTCCTCTGCCACGGTCCCTGCCATTCCCGAGGCCTCGTGCAGCAACCTGGCTGCTGCCCAGCGAGCGCTGATGCCCTTCTTGCCTGTGAGTAAGCTTGCAGGAAGGCCAGGAAGGAAGGGGTGGCGGGGCAGAAACTCTATCCCTGCCCTGGCCGGCTCAGCCCCTGCGTGGTTGCTGGAAGGAGCTGTACACAGCCAGAGCTGGACTGGAAGGAGCGTTGGGGGCAAGAAACATGAGACCTCACCTCCTCAAAATGAAATGCGCCTAGAGCTCAAGGCCTAAAGGCGCTTTAAGCCTTCGGGCTTTGTCCTTGTAATCCTTTATGGGGAGGCTGCCGTGCCGGCCCTGGGCGCAGAAGAGCAAGGGGGCCATAGCTCTGTTAGGAGCATGAAAACACAACAGCCGACGCTTTGCCGAGTCCAGCCAGAGCGACTCCTGCCCCGCCATGCCATGACAGCCGGCAGCGGGTCCAAAGAGCCCCAGCACCTGGCCTCAGGCGGGAGGACCGCAGCCACATGCCACCAACGGGCTGAGGAGGGGCTGG